CATAGTATCGACAACAGGCGACTTCAATAAATTTCATTGATGATATGAGTCTTGCTAAAAAAAAATTGAAGAACAGCGCCATATCATTCAAGGAAATAGAATGATGATCGTTATATATGAGCATTTGCGATTGATGTATATTAACTTAGTAAAAATGATGGTATGAAATAATGAATAAGATGCTTTAAGACGTGGGTTTTGTTAAATATAAGACAGCAGCAGAAGTTCTGCTAGAAAACCAGAATTTTAATATCGATGAATTTAACGTCTCTGTTTGAAATTTCTTGTTTTTTTTTTAAATAGATATTTCAACTAGAAAAACGACTTCCACAATAGTAAACAATCAACATAAGATTCATGCGGAGTACAAGTAAGCCTTTTTGTGCTAATGATAAGAAACGTTAAAAGAGAGTATTGCTACAAAGTAAAATAATATCATAGACCATTATCAACATCATCAATTCCGGTATATTGGAGCAATCGAGCAAAGTTTATTCACATCGATTTGACAACTAACAACGATAACTGTAGTGAAGATATTACTTTGGCAAGGTTAGAAACTGCTGTTTCAAAATTATTATCAATTCATGATGTGAAACTCTATACTGATTCATTACGAGATATTTACTTAAGAAAAGATGATGCTATTGATCTATTGATATTATCGAATGAAATTCTATTTCTTAAAACGCCAGGTTTTCATCGTACACCAGTGGCTGAACAAACAATTACTATCAACATTCGAACTGTTTGGCACAAGATGACACCATTTACAATCACATGTTCAAATAGGATCACAACCAAGGAATTAAAACAAATGATTGAAATGCAAAATCCATCGTTGAAGGTAAAACATCAAAGATTAATTCATGAAACACATTGTGTTGGAAACCGACGCTTATCGGATATTGATTCATACCGAGCTGCACAAGGGTTAGCTGCACTTTCAAATGATCATTTTTTTGATGATGGTCTACTGTTGAGCGAGTGCAACATTAATAATAATACAACGTTATATGTTGTTCGTTCTAAATGTACCAATAGAGAGACAACAGAAATAATTGCGATGCTTCCAGTCGATTTACAGATACATGTGGTTACTGTCGGACCTGACTATGAAGATAAAAAGACCACAACAATCAATTGTTCAACAGAGACGACAATCCAGGAATTGAAATCGATGATTTCAGATCAAGTTATTGGTGTCGATAATCGAATTATCGTTTACGGTGTTCACAAGTTAGATGAAAGAAAACGACTAGCAGATTATAATATTGAAAATAATGATATTCTATTTTGTCGAACACCATTTGTCGGCGTAGTCTTTGTTAGAAGTTTAACAGGAAAAACTATAACAATTAATATTTATTCCGAAGAAACGATTGAATCGTTTAAATCAAAAGTGAAAAGTAAAGAGGGTAGTGTGAATATCGAGTTTAACTTAACAAATATAAGACTAATGTTTTCGGTTCATATAACATTGAAGGTATACCAGTTGATCAACAACGAATTATCTTTGCCGGAAAACAATGGGAAAATGGACGTTTATTATCGGATTATTTCATACTGACTGAATCGACGGTTCATCTTCAGTTAAGGTAGTTTCTTAATGAAACATGTCGATATTTATATTTCTGTTTTTAAAGACTACGTGGTGGTGAACATAAGTCGACGGAAGCTTCATTTGTTGATCTATCAGATGAAAGTAAAATAAAAAAAATTGAATGGAACAGCGAAGCTCCACCATGGCGTACGGCCAATGTTGGTCTTTGTTTGGAAGGTAAAATTGGTGGGGTCGAGATGTTAGTGACTGCTACGATTTGTCTTTATTCGAAGGTAAATGTGAAAATTCATGTTGTGAAGCATTCAATTACTCTGTTATTATCAATAAAGAAATGGGTATATTTGATTTTATTAATAATAAGAATACCAATTGTCCACAATGTCATGCTCATGTCGCTGTTCTAACATGTGCATTCAATAATTGTCAATGGAGATGGTTCGGAATCAAGTGTGAACCGAAAACTGATCGACTAGTTCAAATTAGTAAGGCAGATTGAACAACAGCTGATGATAATTATAATTTGTTTGATTTGGAAAAAGAAATCGATGATGGTGGAGCTAAATTGGTTACTTGGCAAAAACTCATCATTCAAACCAGGAGAACACGATACAACGATGATTGTATTATATGTCTGGAGAAAATTTCAGAAGAAGAACAACAGCAATTAACTATAACAAAGTGTAAACATGTATATCATAAGGAATGTTTACAACAATGGATCGATGCTGGTGGGGATACATGTCCATTTTGTCGGCAATTTTTAATTATATCCTACAAGGAGGATAATTATATAACACAAAAAAATCATTGAACAATTTTCTTTGATTTTGAAAACTTAAATGAAATGATTCAATTAAACAATTAACTTATTTATTCTGGAAGAAAAAATATTGAACAACCACGATATATGAAAAGAAAAGTTTTTTTTTTTTTATGATTTTTATTTTGTATCATTATCATTTATACTAAATTTGACGTTTCAATAGAGAAATTGATTCCAATTTTCATCTTTTATGTACGCAAAACTTCTATGAAGCAACAAAGAAAATTAAGAACACGATTGAGACTAATTAATTGATTATATAGTCTGATGCGTATCAATTTCTTGCTTATGTTTCTGATGAAGAATATTGAAAGATGAAACAAAATCATTTAAATTTGAAATTATTTTGAAACTGAAACTTTGCAGTTCACATCATGAAATATTCAACATCTTGAAAATTATAATTCTTGATAGATTAAACAGAAAGGAACTTTGACATGCCGATAGAACAGGATATCATCAAGCATAGTTTTTCAATTAATCTTAGAAAAGATATTGCATCAAAGCACTGATCATCGAAATCGTTCATCAGATGTACCATGGAGTAGATGGCCATCAAACATTTTAAATCGATACCGTTCGTCGGACTGAATGGCAAGAACAATTTCAGTCGTGTGTGGATAAGTGCTATCTCTACATCTATTATCACTCTCACTCATTCATCTTTTAAAGAAATCAATGGATGTTCTTCTAAACTCAGAATAAGTGGCAATAAAACAGTTAGCTCTTCAGCAGAATCAAAAATAGTACTGTAGACAACATTTTAATTACATAGACATTAATTTACCATGGTAGAACAGCAATATTACCTAGCAATGGTCATATTTCTTTTTCTGAAATCACTTTCACTACGTAACTCACTTGATGAAAATTCTTTGAAGAGATGTGATAAATATCAGTTGAACACTTAAAAAGAAAGAATCAATATCCATGACAGAAAGTAGCTTCATCGTCAATCAACATCCAAACTTTGGTTGGTATTGAGGGTTTTCATCTGGAAAAATTTCAATTTTCATCTCATGATAAATAATTTTGGTGCATGCCTAGCCGACACAAATCAATGACACAGCAAAGAAAATATGAGAATTCCGAATATCGAGAACAATACTGTCGCTTCGAACGCATTTTAAAATTTCATATTTATATCTGTTTCTTTTGTTATGAAAACTATGATTGATATGCAGAATATATTTGAGTTCCAAATTTATCTGATGAGTCGCTTAAGCAAGGACAAAATACGTCGCAAGTAGCTCCGAATTCATTTATTTCAAGCTCACCCTCAAACTAAATCAAGATCAAAAATTGTGGACAATATTGAAACGAGAACTGTACAGGCAATTGTTAATCATAATGAAATAACATGCGTGCAGAATAGTGATGTTCAACTCCTATATTTTATTTCCCGAAATTTGATCTGCTGTTGTTGTATCCGTCACTGAGAAAGTATCAATGTTCGATCGGAACAGAAAAAATTCAAATATCAGAAGTTTAATGTTCTGTTGAAAAGTTGGAAAAAACCAACAGTTGATGCAATCGAAAAACAAACGCCGTCGATTTATGGTTTATTTTTTCGCTTTTTCTTTGGACATGAATACAATTATGCGAACATGTTCTCTACAAACACCGTCTCCTCAAGAGAAAGAAAAAGAGAGAACACATGCACATCAATATTTTTTCTGTTCTGTATAAATGTCATGCGACGGTTTTTCGTTAGAATTCAATGGCTTTTCCTGATACTTCATCTGTGTTTAAGTAGAAATAACAATCAGACGTTCGAGAGTTGAAAAAAAAGTAATGACCGAAACATGTGCACAGTCATCGCTGTCGAGTCCAGTTTCAAATCGAAAACATTTTGTTGAAAACTCCATTATTGTTTGGCTGGATCCAAACGTAACAGAACAATCCATTGAATCACTCCGCATGATCGTCAATGATGTTTATACATTGGCCGACTATGATGCATCGATCGACTTTACCACTGATATCAGCGATGAAAGAGTCTTCTTTATTATTTCTAAACCATTTGAAATAGAAATTATATCCATACTCAATGCACTCAGTCAAGTCTATGGAATATATTTATTCAATTCAACAGAGAAGAAATATAAGAATTGGTCAAAAACCTGTCGAAAAATGAAGGGTAACTTTAGCGATATCGCATCGTTATGTGATCGAATCAAACACGACACTAGACTTTTTGAACGAGAGATTTTACCGTTTCATATTCTTCAAACTGAATTATTATTGTCTAATACCAATGCAACATCGAATATCTATGATGCAAAAAAACTTCCAAATCAGCAAGATACAATATTTATGTATTCAACAATGACAAAAGAGATTATTTGTATGATGGAGGATGATAATTTACATGAAAATATGATAGACTTTTGTCGCTCACAATATGCAAATAATCATCATGTCTTAAACTTGATCGACGAATTCGATCGAGATTATGCATTGTATTCACCGATAACATGGTATACTCGAGATGGTTTTCTGTATAAAATGCTCAATAAAGCACTTCGTATCAACGATATCAAGCCGCTTGTTTTACTTCATAATTATATTCGTCATCTACATCAACAATTGATAGAATTACAACAACAATCAATTCAAAAAGAGCCATTAATTCTCTATCGAGGACAGCAGATGCCAATAGTAGAATTTGAAAAAATTAAAAATAATATCGGTGGTCTTCTATCGATTTCAAACTTCCTTTCGACGACCGCGATTGTTGATGTTGCTGGAATTTTTGCCGGTCATCCTTTGGATGATCAAACTATCAGTTGCATTCTTTTTCAAATTTACATTGATCCGACGGTCAATACATTCCCTGTTGCTAATATTGAACGATATAGTTACTTTGGGGAAGGTGAGAAAGAATATCTCTTCTCGATGGGTTCTGTCTTTCGAATTGAAAAAGTGCAACAAAGAGATGAGCAAGTCTGGTTGGTGCATCTGTAAGTTAGCAGTTATTATCTGATTAGAGATGTCAACATGATTTATTTGACGGTCAATATTGAATGCGACGTTTTCTCTTTTGCGTGAGAATTAATGATTAATTTAGTGAATTGCTGTTGAAAACTCTTAATCTTTTCGAGAAAAAGAAGTGATCGATGAAATATCGATAAAACCTTATAGAAGTATCATAGAATTTCTATTAGATTATGATGTTGATTAACTGAGCTCATCATTCTTGTCTCTTGTAGTACTTTGACCAGTGACAATGATTCAATGTTGGCTGAACTCAAAGAAAGTCTAAAATCAAATATTCTAGATCAAAATCCTCTATTGATGTTTGGAGGATTACTAATACAGATAGGTGAATACGAGAAAGGCGAATATTTCTATTTGATTGGATTGACTATGGAAAGTGAACCATCACGTCTCGTAACAATATGGAATCAACTCGGTATTATCTATAGTCACTTGAATCAAATCGATGAAGCTCAAAAATGCTATGTAGAGTTACTCCAAATCAAACAAAAATATCTTGACAAAGATGATCCAGCATTGGCTACTATTTATAATAATATTGGCACTATCTATCACAATCAAGGAAATTCTCAGCTTGCTCTTGAACATTTTCAGCGTGCACTTTCAATACATCTCGCGAATCCCGAATCGAACTATGAATATATTGCAGCTGAGTATTGCAATATTGCGGCGATCTTCATTGATCAAGGCAATCTTCAAGAAGCATTCCAATGTCAACAACGTTCTCTTGATATTAATCGGAAATATTTACCATCCAATCATCCATATCTTGCTCAATCGTATTATGCTTTGGCAATGTCCTTATATGCATTGGGTCGTTATGATGAGATGTTCGAGTATATGCAAAAAGCATTATCTATTGATAAACAATCTCTTCCTCCGAATCATCCTCAAACACAGTTCCATGAAGAAAATATGAAAGCAGTTGTACAAAGAATGTTCGAAAGAATTGCCGCTGGATCAATTATAATTGACGATAGCTGAATGGTTCTCTTGTTACTGGACACTAATTTGAATACTATCTATACTAACAGGGTGTGGATGTGGGTATGCGAGCGGGAGAATACTAGAATTACACTCACACCCAACTTTAAGAAAGCTAACACTATATCAATGAAACCTGTGGAAATTAAACTGGTCGATTTGTTCCATTATTGTGATGTGTCTTGTGAGTCCATCGTGGATACGATAGATGAAGATTTCGACAAGAACAACGTAAAGATTTATTAATTCTTCTAAAAATGGTAAAAAGACGATGTCTTAGTTAATAGTTAGAGTCAGTGAAGTCTCATCGTATATAAAACAAAAGAGACTGAACCAAGGAAGTATGTGCAGACACGATGCACCAAATTCTTATAAAAGATGTAGGAAAAGTTCTGAGATGTTCATGTATATTATAAATTAAGAGAAAAATTAAAGTAATAGCTAGGTGTGAGAGTCATACACTGTTTCTATTTCGGAGTTGACGAATAGAATCTCTAATCAATTTTTTGACCAGAGAAGACTAGTTCGAGATATCATAAAATACGAAGAGATCGCAGAAAAATAGGTCACTCTTGACCGAAAATGTTGAACTTGACAATTTCGACAAACCACCTATTAGTTTCAATTTCTCGACTCCGAAAATCTCTAGTCACATTTGATAAAACTCAGATATTTTCTTGAACAAGGCTTCCTATGATGAAAAGAAATCGATCTCAAGAATCTGGGAAAATCGATTAGAAGTTTTTATTTCTCAATCCCGAAAATTTTTAGTCAACTTCTATGAAAAAACTTATTTTCTCAAAATGGCCCTGCCTTCAGGGTGTGGGTATGGATATCTTCTCATCACATACACCCACACCTTCAAGGTGCATTTTGATTCGTGACTATTTCTGTATGTTGAATGGTCTCATCAAATTGACCAAATGATTTAAATACAGAAGCGATATTAAGATGCATGATAGTTCCCCTTAAAGTGCTAAATTTTCTTTCAAATCAGTCTTTTT